CCCCCCATTTTTCTTTTGGGGGGGGGGGGGGTTTTAAGCCCAAAAAAAAAGGCCCCCTTGGGCTTTGGGCGGGGGGGGAGGGGGCCCCCTTTCACTTTCGGGGGGCCCCTGGGGGGGGACGGGAAAAATTATTTTTTTTCCATTTTTGGGAAATACCTTTGGGCCGCCCTCCCGTTTAACCGGCCGGCCTAGCCCCCGCGGCCCCCCCCCCCCCCTCTTTTCCCCCAATCCGTCCCCGGGGTCCCTCGCTCACGGGGCCGGGGCCCTTATTTTGGCAGAGCCCCCCCCCCCCCGGGCCCCCCAACAAACACACACAAACACCCGCGGCCCCGGGAGTAGGACCCCGGAGTACAAGGAGACTGGTGGGTGGTTGGGTGTAAATATCCCGGGCCGCGCGCGATTGAGCAAGCGAGGGGGAAGGGGGGAAGAGGAGAGCGAGCGAGGGGGGGTTAAGAAGAGAAGGGTTTTAGGAAAAAGAGAAACGGGCCGCGGAGACGGGCCGACTGTCTGTCTGTCTGTCTGCCCGCCCTCGGTGCCCCGGCTGTCCGGCCCCCGCCGCAGTCAGAAATTCACACAAAATGGCGGCGTGGCCTGGACAGACTGGGAGGCTGAGGCGGGAGGAAGGGCGAAGTGGGAGGGGGAACTGAGAGGCGGAGGCCGCGTCACGTGGCGGAGAGGGGGGCGGTACAGGCCACTTTCCCGAAAGGGCGGCGGAAAGAGCCGAGAGGCCGAGGGAAGGCGGAAAGAGCCGAAAGGCGCTGAGCGGGAGACGGGGAGAGGCGGAAAGTGTCGAAGATGATTATTGGGGTGGGGCTAGAGGTAAAAATGGGAGGTCCCTGAGAGCCGGAAATAGCCGAAGCGGATCGGGACTGGGAAACAAGGAACTGAGGCGATCCGGAAAGAGCCGAAGGCAGCGTCGGGGTGGGTGGCAGGAGACGGAAACAGCCGAAAGAGGCGGTGCGCGGGTAATGAGATTTAGAAGGAAGGAGCTGAAGGGCTGGCTAGGGAGGCGATTAATTAAGAGAGTAAACGATTTCTGAGTAATTCGCCCGAGAAGCAGCAGGAAGAACCGAAAATTGCTAGCTTGAGGGAAAGCGGGAAGAGTAGAAAGTTTTAGGTGGGAGGATGGGAGGGGAGGAAATCGGGCTACGGAGAGGAAAAAAATAACCTAAAGCCGGAGGCCGGGTGCTGGAGTTGTAGGTTTCCGGAGAATGGGAAGATGGAGCCAGGCAAGCCGGGAGATGATGTCATTAGGGACCTCGGTCAATGACGTCATCCCTGGGCGGTGCAAGAGGGGCGGGCTTTGGTGGAGTTTTACAACCTAATTAGTAGATAGAAAGCTCTCAAATGCTGGACTTGGAAGTACTAAACGGATTCAGAACAGTATAACGTAAAATTATTTAACCCTCATAACTATACTCAGGATAGATAATATTATTCCCATTTAATGGATACAGACTGAACCTGGCTCAAGGTTATAGGATTAGGCATAAGCATCACAATTTTTTTTTTAAATCAGCGCTGGCATTCCATTGCCTCTTACGGGCTTACGGGTAGTCTATGGACCTCTGGTAAACAATAGGAAGCATACACCCTGGGGATTTATAGAAAGCCAAGACCTCTTGTTCTGAGAATTAGCTCTTGGATTATTCGTGGATTCTATGAAGACTGGATGACAGGCCACAATCCCAGGTGATGATGTACTATGGGACACACCAAGTGATGAAGTGGGCAGACCCAGCTTCAATTCATCGCCATGTGGAAATGGTATTTGAGACTGAACTCAGGCAGGCACTGTGAATAAGGTCCGCACATCCAGTGTCCCACTTCCCAACCACTGGTGGTAGATTGATTACAATGGATCCTTTTCATGGGAAAGGTCACCAATTCACTTTCATTAGAATAATACTTTGTTGGGAATTGGTGTTATTCCCACCCCCCTGCCCTATTTCTGCCAGTAATTACATCCCTGGACTTAACTATTTTCTTTTTTTTTTTTAAATATATTTTATTGATTTTTTACAGAGAGAAAGGGAGAGAGATAGAGAGTCAGAAACATCGATGAGAGAGAAACATTGATCAGCTGCTTCCTGCATATCTCCTACTGGGGATGCGCCCACAACCCAGGTACATGCCCTTGACCGGAATCGAACCCGGGACCTTCCAGTCCGCAGGCCGACGCTCCATCCACTGAGCCAAACCGGTTTCGGCGACTTAACTATTTTCATGGTATAACTTTTT